TAAGTATAGCTAGCAGCGTTTTTTTTTTTCTCTCTTTTGGGATTGTAAACGATGAAGAGCTTTGTCCACAGACATTTATAACCTTTGGGAGCAGAGATAGCCTGGAGGGGTCTCCCTGGCTCACATAGCCAGCAACTATTGGCTTCTGGAAGCCATCAATTTTGGAAAACTGACATTCTCCTCCTATATTTCTACTTTCGATCCACACATACACACAGTTTATATATATATATATATATATATATATATATATATATATATATATATATATTATTATTTATTTTTTTTTATTAATTTAATTTTTTAACTCACACCTGTCGGAAATTCCGACAATCAGCGACTGTGATGTTAAATATAGAAGGTTAATAGGCCAAGAACAGGCGTGAAGGAGAGGAGTGCCCAGCGGCGTCCTTCCTGTCTTGAATGTAATATTTATAGTTAGTGGAGGAGATCCCTCATCCAGCTTCTTTTAAGCCTCCTTCGGTTGCTATCGGGCATGTTAATTGTGGCAATGCCTCGAATCAATGAATTTTTATGTCCGCGTAAGTTATTATAAAATATCTTTTAGTGAGCTCGTATGTGGTCGTTAACTGTTGGCATCTGTATGTCTTTATGTAGAGTAATGTTACTGACGTACCTCGGAGCCTTAGTGATATTTCTGAAGGTTTTAGATTGAAAAGTCTGTAGTTTACGTATGAGAGTCCCGTATATCTGTGAAGCATAGGTCCAAATGGGCTTATGTAGGTAAGTATACGCATTCAATTTCTGTCTAAGTTTTAATTTCGAATGTCTTGCAAGGAGTTAGCACAATAGTCGTAGTCTTAGGTTTAGAGTTTTTGTTTTGTCTTTGATATGTGAAGCCATGTCTTTCTTCTGTCAGGTCAGTCTAAGATATTGCACTATGTCTGTCTGAGAAATTTGGATATTGTCAAGGTAAATAGCAGGACAAGTTTCACATCGAAGGGTAAAAGTGATGTCAAGTGATTTGTCTTGGTTGAGTAGAATTTTCCAGGGTTTGCACCAGTCGTAGAATTTGTTTAGGTAAGGTAGAGTCTGTGAGGCGTATATTGAATTTTGATGTCTTGTCAAGATTGCTGTATCGTCTGCGTCATTTTTTATTTAAATGCATTAACGGTTCAGGTGAGACAACGTTTGGACGAAAGGTTTGTAGATTGTCGCATTGGTTCCAATTAGTTGGCCCTCAAGACCTACAGGCCAAACAGTACTGAATTATTGTTTATGAGGCTGGTTCAAAGATGGAGTATAAAGAGTAAATATAGACGCTTATGATGCACTAATTCAAAATATTAAAAATACTGCAGGTGTTATTAAAGGAAAATATAACACAATGATGGGGCACATGTCGCTGAAAATTATTAGAAGCCAATGTTGATATTTTCGAACATTGATTAAAATATGACATCGATTACCAAAAAGCTAATAGATATTTATTTTATTTATTTATTAAAACCCTAGTGTGCCTTTTTAGGCAATACGGATGTTTTCAGTAAGATGTAACGCGTGTCTCCATAACTTCTCACTACTACTAACTTGAAATTCTGTTCTCTAATTCTTGATTTTTTTAAAATGAAATAATAAGGAATTACAGGCGACGGTTGGATGGATAGAGCCACTTCAACGTGGTGCAATACTGGGTTATATGTGGATCTCTTGAGATTCCGAAAACAAAACGTATTCCGCAATTCATTAGGCGTTTAAATTTGGCTTCGAATTCTCTCGTAAGTCCGCCATACACCAGACAGTTATAGTCGAAATGGGGGAACGCAAGAGAGGAAATCAGGAGTTGGCGGGATTTATATAGAATGAGTTAGCGGATAAAGAGTTAAACTGTTTCAGGGTAGATATAGTACGACGGGAAATTTGGGAGATGTTTGGTTTCCAAAAGAGTGTTTGATCAAAGAGGTAACGCCAAGTTTTTTTACAGGAGTATGGAGTGAGATAGACGAGTAGTTTAGGAAAATATTGGGGAGCGTCGGTAAGATATTCTTCTGTCTTGAATCTGTCTTTCTCAACCCGATGATCTTCTGCCAGCTCCTCTTTTCCTTTTTAGATTGAATTAGGCTGGACTTTCCACCCGCAAACAAAATCTTTGTAGTACTGGTAATTTTCTCGAGTGACTAATTATAGAAATCGTTCTCTGTGAGAATGTAGACACCGGTTTCCCTCAGTAATTTAGCCCTAGTTCTCATTAAAGTCGACAGGCGACTATGCTCCCATTCTGGTTGGGAGAGGGGATGACCACCTTTCTCCCCAAAAAGTCTCTGGATTTTATATTATTATAAAATATATGGATGACGATTAAAATAATCAACATAATTATTGTAAAATGAATAATAAAATAGTATATATTTAAAAATATGTTAATATTACTCTCTTTTTTGCGTTTTGGTGTATTTGAACCCGTGTAACCCTTTCCTAAAACTGACTAGTTCCTTCAAGAATTGTCCCGGTAATCCAAATGGCCTGTTCTACAATATTACTTCACCACGCCATAAGAGTTGGTAAATCTAGCTGGAATATGTTGTTCTTTTTCAGCTACTGGAGCTTTCCTGGGCGATTCTAGAGCCTTTAGAGGCAGACACTTCTGAATAATAATTATAAAATTATAATAATAAATATTATTAATTCTAGTCCACTTTTATTCTAAGTTCTAGATGACTTACACAAAATATGGTTTATATTTAAAATTAGGTACGAGTAGCAAACATTAAAGACAAATGATGGCCAACTTGTGATTTTTTTAAAAAAAGATGTAACGAAATATTTTTCTCATTAACATCATTTATTTGTATAATATATGTATGTGATTATATAATGATTTTGTAATTATTTCTTGTTTTTATTTTGTTTCAGACATGACAATGAACGACTTATATCAGAAGATTGTATAAAAGAAAGAAACATATGTATTTTTTGTATTGTTAATATAATATTTTATTAAAAGATATCATTATGTTTTGTTCTGTGTTCTTATTTAAATACCTCTATATATTTTATAGATACCTTTATATTTTATTTCAGAAAGTATACTTTTTTAAATGCTGTATATATGTAAAAAATAAAATAAATAATCAATAAAAAAATTAATTAATGTATTTCCAGCATTATGATGTATATACAGGTTGCCCAGTTTTTAATGGCCAAACTCTGGGGGGTGATTCTAGACAAAATTTCCAACAATAATATTTATTTAATGCATGGGATGATTTCGAAGAGAAAAGGAGCTAAGACCAATTTTGTGTGGTCACGTTTTCTATTGAATAAAAAAGGAATTGCTCAAAAACTGTTCAAGATAATTAAATTCTGAGTACACCTTCATAAAGAAGACAATTTCTTTGTTTTTAGAAAAATTTTTAAATTTACGAAGAGTATCGATAAAAAAGAATTTTCCGGAGATCTAAAACTACTGCGGCAGTTAGAGAACCCATACGTGTGCAACATACCTTAGTACAGCCGCCATATTAGACCTCCTGAAATTCCCTTTTGTCATTGACCTTAGTGAATTTAATCCCTGTTTTCTCAAACACATTTCATCTTCTTTACGATGGTGAACTTAAAACTTAATTATCTTGAACAGTTTAAGAACAATCCCTTCTTTTTCAATAAAAAAGTACCCACACAAAATTGGTATTTTTCGTTCGGAATCGGCTCTATGTATCATATACAGTTATTTGTTGAAAATGTTATCTAGAATCACCACCCAGAGTTTGGTCTGTTTGGAGTTTGGTCACCACCAGAGAACTGAAACTGTCTGTAAAGTAATCTCACCTAAAGTGTGAATATAGCCATAACAAAAAAAAAATACATTGGTATTGGTTTAAATTAATTTCAGTAATTCTTTGAGCACATTTTATCACATTTTTTGCGGTTTGAAGATTCTCTTAAATTTTCCATCTTTTTTTTATTTTTAAATTATTGTGGGTGACACTGTCCTTCCTTCGTAAAGAAGTGATTGTTCATGACTTTTTCATTAAAGTTTCAGTAAAATTATTAGTTTTCCATGCATAAACGTACTTTAATTGTGGAAGTCTAGTATATTATAAACAAGTATGAAAATAATATACGTTTTATTATTATTATAAAGATTTGTATAAGGAACAGTAGCAATTTCATAAATATCTTCTTAATTACTGTGCCTAGCAATATCGTAGCAGTAAGCAACTTACCTTTTTCTGTAATATCTGTTTACATATTACAAATAACAATTATTTTAAATTCATTTGAATATAATTTTTTAACATTGTGTATTTTTTACATACATCGTCGAGTTTATTTCAAAATGTTACTAAGTACAGTTTTGATGGGGCAGAGTTGTTAAAAGTTTTTTTGTAAATTTCGACCTTATTAATTCATAAATAAAAAATACAGTAAGTGCACTAATATGACAAAAAACCCACAATTTCCAGCATTACATATGGAAAAATCATCAAAATTCTTAAAGATTTGAGGTCGAAATGCCGATCACAAATATACGGCATCGCTAAAAAGACCCACCTACAAAAACTTCAAACGTTCCAATCAAAATTATTGCGACTCATAACAAAAGCACCTTGGTACGTGACTAACAATACTCTACGTACTGACCTCCACTTTCCAACAGTTGACCAACATATAACGACCCTATATCAACGATATTACACAAATTTAAACGGACATAATAACAGACTTATAAGAGACATGGCCACAGCTGACATACCTCAGAACATGAGCAGGAGACTAAAAAGGCGTTGGATGAGGGATTTCCTTCCTTAGACAACCTAAGTAATTGGAATAAGTTAGGGAAGAGGTACTGCTGAGTACTTTCCTTCCCCATGCCTGTCATGTCATTTTATCATTATAGCCATCACATTTGCTGATTGTCAACTTATTGTTGACAGGCGCAAATACATATTTAATAGACAAAAAAAAATATATTATTTATACACTATAGTAATGGGATAAGGAAATGGGTATAGTGAATAAAATGAAAAAGAAACTCATTAAGACTTTATATTATTTTATTTATAGGGTAATACTAATAAAACTAAGTACAATTAAGTCTGGTAAAATTAATAATTTCTTCGTCATATTCTACAACTCTCATAACGAGAGGAACTCTTGGCATAAATAAAATACAAAAAAAGGAAGTAGATAAAATAAAATAAAGAAGGTACAATGCAGAAGAAAAGAGGCGAGTATACATTACCAATATACGGTTAATACAAATAAAAAATATACACAAATATAAACAAATAATTAAAGGTCTCTGTGGGCAGTCAGTTGTAGCCCGAGTCCACAGTCCACAGCGCGGCGGGTTCACTTCAGCGACTTGTACCTCTCCTTCTCGTGATTCTCGGGGGGCTCGCATTCGAATGAAGCCAGAGCCAAAGCTATAAGGAAAAGAAAATAATAATAATTATATAAATAATTCTTTTCAGATTGTAGTTATTATTAATAAAATAAATAACTTACCATCCTCATTGAGGACAGGTGTGGCCTGGAGATAGGTGATGACCTTCGGTGACTTGGGGAAGGGACAATGGACCTGCTTCCAGGTGATGAACTCGGTCACCTGCTTCGCAAGCTGCCAGAACTTCTCGAAGTTTATGTGACCGTTCGGCAATCTATAAATAAAAATATAAAATAAATAGATATAATTAAATAATACTGGTTGGCCCGTGCGAATAATTCGCACAGTATATTGGCTGGTGATCGAATGACGAAATAAAATAAAATAATCTAATAATAATCATAGAATGGAGAAACCAATTCTAATTTTATCGGTAATTTTAACAGACTAAGAAAAAGAAAATTAATTTAAAACTTCATTGATTAGTGTGAATGGTATTCTACCCCACTATAACCAATGTCCAAGAGACAGATTGTTGTAATACTCAATAAACAAAAAGAAAAAAAAAATCATTATTTTTCTAAACCAAAATGTTTAGATGTGTACAACTAGGTGCATCTTTACTAATTATAGTCCGATTTTTATTTCGTTTTGTAGAGAATTCAGTAATATTTCAGTTATTCGTAAATAAAATTTATTTTCCTTCATAACTTTTTTGCCTTAATTTTCGTGTGGACTTGTGACAAATTTTCTCACCTATAGGATCAAGAAATCTTCAAATAGCTCATCTTTCGATTTGATGAAGAATTAAGGAATAGATGGCGTACTGGAAATATATATATATATATATATATATATATATATATATATATATATATATATATATATATATATATATATATATAAACTCCTTCCTCCATTATAGGGACCTCATGACATGACGTGAGGTTGTGAGGCTGCGAACCGGTTGCCTTGCATTATCTCGAAAATTTAACACTTTTTTCACCTTCTTGGCTCTAAAACCAAGTGTCCGGTAGTTCCAAAGGAAGGATTGTCTGCATTAAAATCTCCAAATCCCAATTTGTCTCGTATTACACTGACTTACAATTGTCTAAATATTGATGCTTTTATCGAAATGTTTAGATAGATTTTATTTATTTCAGAAAAAAAACAACAATTACGATTCGCTAACGTTACCCCATTCATGGCATTTGAGCATTGCAGGAGCTTATATTTGGTACGAAATTTGTTTCAAGCCTTACTGGAATAATTTATGTGGGAATGGTATTCAGCTTTTGAGTAAACTTATTATAATATATCCGATAGAATCCATACATACAAAAAAAAAAAGAAGGAAATTTGTATCAACGCAACCTATGAAAAGTGTTGGGTTTATTGCTTTTTAAGGAAGTATGTTAATAGATTAACGGTTGTGCAAGGAGGAGATTTGGCCGAGATAACGCTTAACCACTAGATTTTCCCCCTCACATTTAATTAAATAATTAAGAGTCTCCACTTTTTAGAATCTGGGTGTGCGCCAGAAGGATGCTCAACTCCAGGTTGATATTGCATAACCGAATAAATAATTACCTGTCACGACCAGACACGTATCAAATGAGAGAACAGTGTCTTACACACTGAGCTACCCCTCCTTTCCAATAACATATAGGCAATGAAATTATATATTCGTAAAGTATGTTATAAGATAAATTATAATTATTTAAGATTTAACGTTCTTGTGAGCTCCAAAATGATCAAAAGATGCTAAAGGAGGTTTATATTTTGATTCCCCCTTCGTCGTAAACCTACGTCCTTCTGTCCAGCAGTATCCTTTAGTAATACCCCACTTATTCCTGTTCAACAAATCCGATACCTTGGACTCTACTTAGACAAATGTCTAACTTGGAATCCAGAAACCGCTCGACGTTTCCAACTACTCCAGCACTTACTAGACAAACGACCTAAGATTCCATTCAATTACAAATGCTCATATACATGACTACAAAAAGACCTTACGGAGTTGAGCTCTGGGGCTCCACTAAGCCATCGAATTCCTCTCGTAACAAATCCTTACAACCCAAAATCCTTCGAAAAATCCTCACTGCTCCTTATTTTGTCACAAATAAAATCATCCATAACGACCTTAATGTTCCTTATGTTTCTGACCTAGCCCAATCCAGATACCTATCCTTCCATAACAAACTTCAGAACCATCAAAACTCTCTCGTTTCTAACCTTGCTTCCTCTTCGATCCCTGACAACCTTCCGAGGCGTCTGAAAAGAAGATGGCCTCGAGATCTCCTTTTGTAAATACATTTTTAGAGTGCTACCAATGGGTAGTTTCTCAACAAGTGGTTTCATGTTATTATATTATTTTGTTCACATTTACTGAACCTATTTTTATTTTAATACAGTTGTAAATATCATCAATAAAAAAAAATATATAAACAAAATATATTTTGATTCCTTTTCAAATAGTACAATAATTTAAATGCCAGGAAAAAGAAGTATCAAAATAAAACTTTTTTTAAAGTTGATTATACCATCAGCCTATATTTCTAAGTTATCAATAAAATATATTTAAATCATAATTCAAAGGAGGTACTATTAATGTCTCTGTAAGCAAACTGTATTCCAGACATGTCACTCCAACTGTAGAGGGAAAAGTAGGACTCCAAAAGATTCCTGCACTGCTCTCTCAGTGCTAAAGCCAGTCGAGATTGACAAAGAGCCTTTTAAATATTATTAATAAAATAGAAATATTATTCGGACCCTATAATTATTATAAAACAACCGTAAAAAGCCGATAACAACCCGACACAAAGAACAACTTATTTTAAAATCAACCTAACAATTCCATTAATAAAAGAGAAGGGTTCGGACGTTGTTTAGTGAGACACCTTTGACGGCTAAACAAGGCTCTCATTCACTTCCAATGCTGGCTGCTTTGTCAGCAACTAAATAGAGCCGACAAGAAAAGGCGGTATCGCGGCGAAGGACAGATGACAAACAGAAATGAAGTTGCCCCCGAATCAGACAACATTGACGAGACAGATCACAAGGTAGGACTGCGGACTGACACCGTTTCATTATCCGGACAATGGTGGACTTCGCTCCGTTCCAGCCTTCGATAACGTAGGCCGTCTCTTATTGGCAGATTACCGATATTTCATTGGCTCTGCTCCGACATTTTACAAAACTATTACTTCAACACAATTCTAAGAAACCAATACAGTAGTTGAGAAGAAATAAATTACACTGAAAAGGAACTGTACAATATTAAAAGGCACATGAACCAAAAAGTAAAATTTCTAGTAAGGATTGGGTACTAATATAGCTATAGTCCAAAATGTCAGTACTCAGCTGATGAAAAATTGGATTCTCTGCAACTTTGATTCTATGGGTTTTTCCTCCAAGGGAACTCATTTCCAAGTTACAGGGCCATTTATAGTAATTTGTCAAACTTGTTGACAAATTTAGTAAAAATCAGCGTTGGTTGACTCTGGTTTTATACCTTACCGCGTAACCAAATTATAAAGTATATGTACTCGTTTGACGCTAAATTTAACGTTCTTTAAGTTATTATAGAATACATTTTTCGCTTTGGTATATCATTTAGGAGTAATAGGTGAAAAAAAAAATCGAAAAAATCTGACTGATGTAAAAGGTTTTCTCTAGAAATTTTGTTTTTTAAATGTCTAAACCTATATATATATATATATATATATATATATATATATATATATATATATATATATATATATAAGCTAAAAAAAATATTGGCCTAATATACTTTGAATTTTTGAAAGCAGCGGCTCTGGAACGGCAGACAAGGTTCTTTTCACTCATAATAACATACAATTTTGTAATTTACAATCAAACCTTCGCCTGCGATCAGGTCGATTTTTGGGCCCTGGCTCTAGAGGGCTATGTGGGATAGGGTGCTTGCTATATAAAAGGAATAAAAAAAAACTAATAATTAAACGTCAAAATAAGATTTGAGTCTGTCGAAGCTGTGAAAAGAGAAAACGAGTGTTTCATAGTAGTACCCGTAAGCAGTACAATATTCAACCAAATAGTGAAATAAGATGATAAAGATAAAATATTGAGCCACAAACATCACAATAAATAGATGCTTTCATTATTTATATTTATAATTTTTTTTAAAGACGTTTTAACTTCCAATAGTGGTTTTCCTAATGAAGCCATCAAGAGAGGTTTAATAAATTTTTCTTAATTAAACGATAATTTTTACGAAAAAACATAAAATAAAACAAAAAACAACACTTTTTTGCGATTCCTAATCTTATTGGGTCCAACATTTTCATTGCATTTGAAAAATATGGACCTCCAAATTGGAATAATGAATTAGCATTTACAAAATTAGCACGTTTTATTAACAGACCCTAGTCTATATTAAAGTCGTACGTGTTGCCGCCAGATTTAGCAAATAAATATTAAATAATTTTCTAGAAATGAATCCTTAATAGGTATAACACAGATGAGAGTAACAATGGTAGCAATAGCTATTTTGTCAATGAGCTAGACAATGAGCTATTTTGTCATCCAACAAAATAATTTAAAAATACGAAAGGCCCGAAAATTATTTATCAAATATTATTTAATTTTAATCCAAATCCAAATCATCAACCAAGAAATTAATTAAATCTTTAAAAATCATGTTTATGTACAATCTTAACACCTGCTCCATATCAAACTTAATAACACTAACAAATATACAATTCTGAGAATTGCAAACAATTATCTATCTTAAAATACAATCAGAATTATATATTCTCTAGATAAAAAAAAATATAGTCTAACTAATGCGAGGCATTTTCAAACATATCAGCATAGTTCAAACCCTTTGAAAACTAAAATAGGTAAAAAACTACGACCGTATGCAGCAAACTAAACCGACATTCTTTTTAACAATACGAATTCAAAGCCTGTATTTTATTTTACCTTTGTTTTTTGTTCGTTATATTTATTTTAATCGCTCAATAGAATATATTTTATTTGTAATAAAAAGTAAAAAAAAAAGCGATGTACGTGGGAAAATTCAGTATCAGTTACAAAATGTACTGTAAATATTAATATTCAAGGAATAAAAACATGGTTGTATGAATACTCTTATTGGAACTCAACAGGAAAAAGTAGCTAAAACTCTATCGATTATCCGAACATATAAAATAATCAAGAATAAAAAAATCCACTGGAATGAATTTTACAAAAACGCTATATCCCTCAATAGACCCAACTATTTGTTTAATAATAAAAGGCATACCCGAACGTTCGATGCCGACATAGTCAGTGGCACGGGCCCCTTTTTATAAAATTATTAGTATCCGCATAAATTTTTGTAAATAGCTTCATCTCATCGTAACCTAAAAATGTCATACTTACGAAAGTTTTCAATCTGGAGATCGGCAAACTATTTAATTGAGCACTAAAAACTCATGAATACTCATTTGCTTTCCAATAGAATACGATCCCAAATCTTCTGGACCAAACAAATAAGTCTTGAGCAAGAATAATAATTAAATAGTATACGATGCGTGCGTGCAAGCATCGCTGTGTCTAATTGCTGAACTATTAAACTGGAAGGCTATATTTCAGTGATGCAATCTAATCCTTTTTTAAAAAAGCAAATGGTAATTTAACAATAGTGGTAAAATATGATGCTTCACCAAATTTTGTTCTCTCAGGAGAGAGGATTTTGATGAATGAGATATCAAACGAAAGGGTATTACATGAAGCTGTGACGCATCATAGTAATATGTTACCGAAATTTTATGAAAAAAAAATTTATTTGCGAATAACTTAAAAAGTATACGTTTTTATGTTGTTTGTACCCATGATTATTTGAAAAAATAGTAAACTCCTCAAAAAAACAAAAGGAAAATTACCGAACTCTATTAGAAATTTGTAAATTTGAACTGTGAGAAAAGAAGTAAAGTGGGTTCAAATACTTTTTTAAGGAGAAACATTTTTGAGATTTGTACTTTGCATTTCGAAAAAAACCCAAAGACAAGAAAATAAAATTTAATACCAATCGATAAATAAAAATTGTGTATTATAAATTTTATATAGACACCACATCTCAAAAAAAGTGTAATAACTTCAACATGCTTCCAGCTATTCACACAAAAATTGGTAGTAATTTAGAGTCCCATAAAAGTATGTAATTTTGTTGATTGTACCCATGATGATTTAAAATATTAATAAATTGGACCATTATAAACAAAGATATGGCCCTATGATTAATGTACACATATTACGATTTATTTAATGGACTTAATGGAAAAGGAAATCATTTATTATATTTCACAATGTATATCATTAATTTTTTTTTCTATTATATTGTCGATTGTTCGCTGACCAATATTCTATGAGAATTATTCACAAAAGCCAACTATCATACTATATTGATAATATTAAATTGTATAAATGGATAAACATATTTCAAAGGAAGGAGATGGCCCGGGGTGGCTGTCATAAATAGGCTAAATAGTGGTAAAACTATTTTATTAAAAGATAACGTTTCGACCCGACTTTGCAGGCCTTCATCAGGGCTTGAACGGACAAAATATACAGAATTGTGGAAGTTACATAATATTTAGACAAAAAATTATAAACAATGTGAATAAGTTTATTAAAATTTTAAACAGACGTTGGTTTTTAATAAAACAGTTTTAACACTATTAAGCCTATTTATGACCGCCACCCTGGACCATCTTCCTTTATAATGCAACGGTCAACATTAAATATTCAATAAACATTTTTCGCTTATCACAGACATCTAATGTCTGATATATATATATATATATATATATATATATATATATATATATATATATATATATATATATATATATATGGTATATCCTGCTGGAATATACTGGTTATTACTAACTTAGATAATACACTAGACAATATAGGATGTACTCACTTGTTCGAACAGCCCTCATTGAGGAAGTAGAGGTCCTTGACGAGGAGGGAGAAGAATGGGATGACTATCCTCTGGGTGTCGTCCGTGGCCGCGGCGGACCTCCAAACAGCGGCCTTCAGGGTCGACCTGTAGCTGCTGAAGTTGCAAGAAGGATCCATCTGGTGCTCGAGGACGGAGAACTTGGCGCACTGAACCTTGCTCCACTGCGAAAATAACGAGGATATTATTATACATTATATTATTTTAAATTTACTTATAACAATGCAAGCTGAAGACAATACATACAAGTAATCAAGTTAGTCATTGAAAATGAATAAATCGTCTTAAAATTACTCGAAAAAAAGAGGAGTGAACTGTTCCAAAACCAATTTCCATGTCTCTCACCACTACACTGAGTTAAGGTGGCTCTTCCCCTCCTTCCGAAGACAATATTTTCTAGGTACGTTCCTCTACCGAATCATCAACAACCATCATCCTTCTTACGCCTACAACCTTCTCCAGTTCAAATCCTCAGTCCATTCCCTGCCCACAAGATCTCGACCTTCTGACCTTTACATGCCTTCTCACAGATCTTCCTCATTCCAAAATTCCTTTATTGTTCGCTCAGTCAATTTCTGGAATTCCCTCCTTATCAAAATCCGACATTCCCCCTCCATATCCACATTCAAATCCCTCCTATTCCAATTCCTATCACAAAAACAGTCAGATAATTGCTAACCATTTGAGCGGATTTTAATCGAGAATTTGATACATTTTTATTTTTTAATTCTTTATTTTTTTCGGAAAAGTGTATTCTGGTCTAAAAGAGCAAATAGCTTTAAGTGTCTTGTCATAGTATTAATGGTTTTGTATATAGTTTAGTTTGTTTTGTATATAGAATTTTTACCTTATATTTTTTTTACATTATTTCTTTTTTTCGATTGATTTTATTTTGGCCAGATGTAATATTTTAATTTTGTTCTATTTTGTTATTCTCAAGGGACTGTGTCCCAGAAAAAAGTTATTTTTCTTTCAAAAAATACGAATATCAAGCAAAGAAGATACGATCACGATTCGTTCGGACTCTAAGCGCGTATGACCAGATTAATAATGAACGTTAATATACCTAGTTCTGTCATAAATATTGGTACAAGGGAATATATATATAAAGTTTTTCAAAAAAAAAATTGAAAATAAAATGTATATCTATTTCAAATCCTCAGTCCACTCCCTTTCCACAAGATCTCGACCTTCCGACCTTTACATTCCTTCTCACAGATCTGCCTCGTTCTAAAACTCCTTCATAGCTCGCTCTGTTAAATTTTGGAATTCCCTTCCTATTAAAATTCGGCATTCTTCATGTCTGACTACATTCAAAAACCCTCTTATTCCAATTCCTGTCCCTAAAACATTCAGGTACCCGCTAACCGTGTATGAAAAACTACATTTTATTCATAATAATGTATTTACATATAGCTTGTGCCCTATAACTGAAATACTTATTAGCAGATTCGACTCTTTTTTTTTTTTTTTCTAAAAGTATATATTTATATTTTACAATTGTACAGTTTTAAGTGTCTTGGTAAGGTTTCAAGAGTTTTGTATATAGATTTTTTATTTTTTTTTTATTTTGTATATAGTTAAAACTAATATTTTCTTTACTGATTTAACTTTACTTTTACTTTTTATGTTTGTTTTTATTTGGCCAGATACAACATTTTTATTTTGTAATTTTTTTGTTATTCTGAAGGGACTTCGTCCCAGAATAAAATTATTTTCCATTCTATTCTATCTATACAGAGTAAAAAAAAGATGAAATTACTCAAAATGTCCCCATTTTGCCTTGACACAGGCATTCAATCTCCGTGGTCAGTCATCAATAGCAGCATGCAGCACTTTTTGAGAAAAGCGCTCAACTGCTCGGATCCGCGATTGTTTGAGGTTTTCCAAGTTAGTATATGCTCTGTGGCATGCCTTCCTCTTCAGATCGGACCAAAGCCGATAATCTAATGGGTTGAGGTCAGAGGTTCCTAAGGGCCGATCCGAGGCAGAGATGAACTCGGTAATGTTCTTTTACAGCCAATGCTGTGTTGACCTGGTCTTGCGAGCAGAATCCTGCTGGAAAACCCAATGACTTCCAGCAAACAGAGTATCATCTAGAGGCTTGACAACTGGTTCCAAAATATAGTTCTGATATTTTTAGCAGCTGTTTTTTCTCCTTTTTCACAAAAATGGAGCTCTGTGGTGTCATCAAAGAAAACTCCCCACCAAACCATCACTGAGGAAGGGTCCATTCTTCCAATGACTTCCTGAGCTTCTTTAGAGCTGTGTGTACACACGATCATTTGGGCGATTTAATTCTTCTTCAATTGTAAAAATTTTCACATCGCTTAACGAAATCCTTCGATGAAGACTATTAGTGTAACGTCCAAAGAGCACTTCTATCCATCTATAGAGAGAAAGTGGTTAGCCTTTGTCCTGTCATTCTTCGAAATGCACCCATCCTAAGGTCACTTTTTATCATGCGCGAGACATTGATCTGACAGAGATTCTCATTTCCCGAGACATGATTTGTTTTTTTCGAATGATATTTCTTCTGAATCGAGCAGCCACTGCCCTCACAACATTTGCCGCTCTCACAGAGTGGGGACCGGTCCAGGTCTATCACATACATATCTCATTACATCTATTTATAGTGAGGTACACGAAGATATAGTTAATAATCAAAGATTTTAAAGTGTTGAAAATCTCTGACCTACATTTTCCAACTTTGTGTAAGGCGATCACAGCTATTATCTTTATCATCCCACTCCATGTTAATTGAGCGGAAGAAAAATACAAACTATTTAGGAATATTATCCTGAGATGTAATAAAATAACCTGGATAGAGGTAAGGATTTTCTAAATAATACCCAAGGATGTAAACAAAGTTCAACTTCTGTAACAGTATTTATGGCAGAATTAGGTAGTTCTAAGTCAAATTTCATAAAAGAACATTATACGTAATAAAATAAAAAATATAAACGTTAATTTAAATAATACTTAAAAACAGAATATTAACAGAAATGCCTAAAATAATCTATCTCACCTTAAATATATTTATACAAAGTTTATTTTAGCAGCAGACCAACTACTACTTTCCGACTTTACTATTGCTACATTTAAAATGTATAACTGTCTCCTCCGATGAATTAAAGATTCAAATATATACAAGAAGATTCAAGAATAATCAAATACATTTTTAAAAAATTCAAGATTTGCAAAGAAACATCCTAATATCTAAGAAACTAAAACCAAAAAATTAACCATATGAATAATCATGAGTCTTAATTAGAAAAGATGCCTCGCCGGTACAATAATTGTTTTATTGTACTTTACGAAATATTTTTCTTACATCTCTGAGGCACTTTCATAGACATCTACAACTTTTATAACAGTCTCAATATATGAAGAAACAGATATATTTCCCATGTTACAGCGTCTACAAAATCCTACATGCGAGAAGATAAAAAATAAATCTTTTTGATGAACATATGTTTGAAATATTAAGCTAATTATAGTAGAAAGTAATGGTTGTCATAATGCACGCACTACAATGTGTCAATAACCCGAACTATGAAAAAGGTCTCGTCAGAGAAATCTGAAAACTCAGAGCAGAATGGTAGCGATGAGCTGGTTTCGCGTTTGTAACATAAACAATTTTCCAACAAAATTAAGCAAAGTAAAATACCAGTTGCACACTCTCTACGCATGTAGAATTGGGTAACTGAGAATTGTAAACATTTTTGGAATGTTTTAAATATCATTGAGTCAACTTAAAAACTACAAATATATTTTGAAACAAAGCCTTATTACATTTATTAACTGCATCTATTTTGTGTTACTGTTATACACTATAATAAATACTGACAGATATAAATTACAGTAAAGTTATTTTTTTTTTTCACTGAAGAAGAAAAAGACAGGACTAAGTTATTAAATATTCTGAGTAAAAAGTCTGCCAGGAGTGTCCGGAGCAGTGACATCTTTGCTCTCAACTTCTCCTCCTCCCCCCCCCCAACTGCCGTGCCTACCGCAGGCACCAATTAACAAATCCAGGCTTCCTTCAACACAACTCCTTCCTTATCGGCAAAAAAAGTAGACACTTTATTTCAACCTATATATATATGCGCATGATTAAAAAGTAAAATAAAACATGCCTCAACCAATAAAAAAATTATTTACCATTACTAACCCACTAATTCCTAGTTAAGACCATGAGACCATATAGTAAACTTAACATAGAGTATAGGCTTCAGCTAGACTCCACCAACTCTGCTCTAAGTTAAGTATATATATTAAAAATAATAAAAATAAAAAAGTATACTCTTACTTAATATTTACTTTTTATATGGTATGAATACAGTTGTAAATTTCAATAAATAACTTTAAAAACAAAATAATAACAGTATTGTAAATTGAAATATTTAACTCATCATCAGAACTTTGATAACCACTATTAAATATTTTCTGTTGAAATAGTCGTATTCCACAAGTTTATTTACTTATATAGCAACCACAAAAAGGTTTCGGTAGGTTCCTGGCCTAAGATTTAAATCGCAACTAAATTTTAAATGTCAATACAATGTTTTATTAATTAATTAATGGGAAATTAATAGATATGAAAAGATCGATAAGGAGGTATGGCAAGACTTCAGAAACGTCGTAAAAAGAAATATACGTCACATACGTCAATCATATACCCTACCTACCATTAAATCCCGACAATTCAATCATTTCTTATCTATCCAGTCTTTATAAAATTGTTAATAGTTACTATTGTAAATATGTATATAAATTATTAGATTGTTCTTCATTATTTGTACTTAATATTTATTTTCATTTCTTTCATTATTGTTTACTGATTTTAGTTAGAAAGTAAATGATAATATTCAGTGATAAATGATGATAATATTTAACAACAGAATTTTCGCAGAATAAAATTAAATAATGTTTCTTGTTTTCTTATTATTATATTAAATATTATTATTATGACTATTTAATTGTTCTGTATTTTTGTTTATAAATATCTGAGGCTCCTTAGCCCACATTTCTGTCTTTCTGTATTATTCTAAAGGGACATATAGTAAATATTGTCACTGGAATCCCACTTCTTCCTTACAAAAGTGGATACATAAATACATAAGAACCTTAGCAATATAATTCTAAACAAGGGTAGTCTCTT